GCTACCAGAGCTCCAACAAGTAGATACTATTATTGTCCCTTCTTTGTAGGGGAGAGAAGTGAGGCTTAAAGGTGTAAAGCTGCAGAGCTAATGAGTGAAGAGTCTGGATTTTCATGCTTGCAGCCTGACTCCTCCCCACTATCTGCACATGGAATCTTTTGCTGCGATTTCCCTTGTTCCTGGACTCGAGGAACGCAGGAAAACCCTCAGCCCTCTCCCACAGAGCCTCAGCCAATGATAGCTACTTCCTGCATGAACAGAGCCTCCCTGAAGCCAGCAGCAAAGCCAGCCCCAGGGCCACAGGTTCTCCAGCCTCCTGGTAGCTCCCCAAAAGCCCAACCTGCTGGGTTGGCCCAAGCGCTCCCAACAGAAATTCAGGTGAGTGTTACCCTTTCTTAGGGAAGAAGGGACTCAGGACTTTGAGGCAACTAGCTTTTCTACATGATCCACAGATTTTTCCCAGGGATGAATTAGAGGGGGCGGGAGTATCCCACACCAACAGCCAACTGGCAAGACAGAGTAAGAGCCCCTAATGAAGACCTGCTTGAAAGGGCCAAAGCCAGAAGGAAGTGGAGGTTGGAGGCCACCTGGGCCTGGGAGGTGGGGTAGGACTGTCTGGATCTGGGAAGAAATCTTGGGTACAAATAGTCCTGGTGTCTCCCAACATGGAAACACCTTTACAAAGTATCTCTCTGCTCTTGGATCAAAGCTGGAAAATGATTTGTATTTATTCAGTTTGAACGGTAAACTTTCCTTTCTTACTTCTTCAGACTCAGAATCTTTCCTTCAAACCCCCCAGTCCCTCTGCCCTTCACCTGGGGACACAGATGGCTTTCCAGGTATCTCTTCTATTCCAACTCTGCCTTCTTCCCAATAGGTATCTGCTGGTCCTGATGTCTGTCCAACCTAGCTCAGGGCCCAGCCCCTCTGAGGTGCTCACTGTGCCTGCTGGAGACTTTGCAGTTATTCACAACTGGAGTGAACTGCTCTACTTCTTCAACCACACTTTGCCCGAGTGCCACATGGAGTTTAGCGAAAGCACCAAGCGTGTGGTCCTCTTTGTCCTCTACCTGGCCATATTTGTGGTCGGGCTGGTGGAGAACCTCCTGGTGATATGTGTCAACTGGCGTTACTCAGGCCGAGTGGGGCTGCTGAACCTCTATCTCCTCAACATGGCCATAGCAGACCTGGGCATCGTGCTGTCCCTGCCTGTGTGGATGCTGGAGGTCACGCTGGACTACACTTGGCTCTGGGGCAGTTTCTCCTGCCGCTTCACTCACTATTTCTACTTTGCCAACATGTACAGCAGCATCTTCTTCCTGGTGTGCCTCAGCGTGGACCGCTATGTCACCCTCACCAATGCTTCGCCCTCCTGGCAGCGCCACCAGCACCAAGCACGGAGGGCCCTGTGTGCAGGCATCTGGGTCCTCTCAGCCATCATTCCTCTCCCTGAGGTGGCCCACATCCAGCTGGTGGAGGGCTCCGAGCCCATGTGCCTATTCATGGCACCCTTTGAAAGCTACAGCACATGGGCCCTGGCGGTGGCCCTGTCAACCACCGTCCTGGGCTTCCTGCTGCCTTTCCCTCTGATCGCAGTCTTTAATATACTGACAGCCTGCCAGCTCCGGGGAGCGCAACAGCCCGAGGGCCGGCGCCACTGCCTGCTGGTGTGTGCCTACATAGCCGTCTTTGTCATCTGCTGGCTGCCCTATCACGTGACCCTGCTGCTGCTCACACTGCACGGGACCCATGTCTCCCTCCACTGCTACCTGGCCCACCTGCTCTACTTCTTCTATGACGTGATTGACTGCTTCTCCATGCTTCACTGCGTTATCAACCCTATTCTTTACAACTTTCTCAGCCCAAGCTTCCGGGGCCGACTACTGAACGCTGTGGTCCATTACCTTCCCAAAGACCAGGCTAGGACAGGGGGACGGACTTCGTCCTCCTCCTCCTCCACTCAGCATTCCATCGTCATCACCAAGGAAGGCATGCAGCCCCCACGCCATGCCCTCCCAGGCCCGAACTTTCAAGCAGCTGCTTTGTCTCCAAACACCTCGCCTATCTCCGCACCTCAGTCTCTTCTATCCAGCTGAGGTAGATTCCTGTTTCCATCAGTGAAGTGGAAAACCTAGAGGTGAGGGGAGAGATTTGGAGGGGGTGGGGGAGCAGGTTAGAGCATTGATGGTCTATTTTGAGTGTATCTTAAAATACTGAGGAGGGGAAAGGGAGAAGGCATGAGCAGGGGCAGAAAGCAGGCCCTGGCTGTTGTACTACTTGCCGTGGTCCTTGTGCCTAAGGAAGCCACGCGGTGGGGTGGGGGTAGGGGTTGAAATAAATACAGACAGCTGCTACTGTGGATCTCTGAAAAATCTGTGCTTCCAGCTGGAGTTGGGAAGGGAGCTAAGGTAAAGGGATGCTCCACAGAGGAAACTGGAGCCCTCACTTCATAAATCACCCCGGCCGGAAAGAGTGAGTTCTGCAGGAATCTCGCAAACCTTCCTTTAGTGTTTGTGTGCTTGTTGATCTCCCAGCAAACCAGCAGGTTGAGGGGACAAGAGGCCAGAGGCCAAGGAACCAGGAGGCGTCAGCAGGACATTCCCAAGCCATGCATCCTCAGTGCTGTGATAAGTGGGGGGGGTGGGAACCAAGGGGGTGGGCTAGCCAAGGCCAGAGGCAGGCACCCTGCAGCTGGGCTGGCAGGATGGGCTCCACCACTACCCCCATCCAGGAAACAGGGCTTCATTTCCTTGCCATACCCTCCCACTCTTCCATCCTGCTCCTCCTCCCCCCCAGAACCAAAGGATCTTTTCCCAAGTATTCAAATTGCTGCCCCTCAGACCTAACCTCCTCCCAGCTTTGGATCTCGGACATTTCCAGACTTCTTCCAGGCAGAGATGCTATCAGAAATCACCCCATCTCTCCATTTCTCTCCAGATCACAGGAAAATAAGGACACCAATTCTGGGATCAGGCCCTGGGACAGCCAGCAGCAGGGACTGACAGATGCTCTGTCCCTCAGCCTTTGTCTCTTGCATGGGGAGGGAAGGGGGCAGGTGGGACAATGTGAAATCTTCCAATTCTGACACAAGACAGAGTTCTGACCTTCTTCTAAATCAGTTCTCACCCTTAGACTTCCTTCTCCCTGGCCAAATCTTCATCATTTTCCTATCCAGCAATGTACCTCTATTAACACTTGTCCTATACATAGGAAAAGACCTACTTGTTAACAAGTAGGTCTTCTAGAAAAGGCTTATTATCAGTTTGGGAAACTATGACCATGTCCATGAAGGTCTGACTTAAACAAAAGCTTAAGAACAGGTCCTAGTTTCCACCTTCCAGTTCTAAGTCCTTGGCCTCTTAATCCTGTTTGTGGAGATAAAGGGATTGTAGACATAATCATTGACATCTCTTTACTGTCTCCTCCGTCCTGGTGACGTGCTCAGCTTGTCTGGAACATTTAACTTCTAATTACTACTCACTTACCCATAAAGCTGTCTCCTCAGCTCTTGGGAATCTGTTACTGAATTCATGAAGTGCATTCAACGTGTGCTCCAGTGACGTATGCTCTTGGGTTTGCAAGGAACATGGAGGAAAGTCTGTATCTCTAATCCCTCTGCTCACTGGGCCCACACCTGAAAGGGTCCTAAACTACAAACAGTTGTTCAGTGGTGCAGAGTGGAAAGCTTTTTGAACCAAGAGTCTAGGTTTCAGCTTGGGGTTGCAGTAAGGGCTTAACATCACAATGCAAAAATGCATTAAAAATGTTTTTCCCTTGTCCCCCACATAAAAACCAAGCCAAGATCTGATGCCCCTGTCACTGCCTCCTCTGATTTGGGCTCCAGAACCTTTCCAAAGGAAACCCAGTTTTACATCTGCCACATCCCAGGTCACCTCAGAGGCCTCTTCCCTAAGATATTGCTCTTCTCAATTTCAATCTGGCAACCAGTTATCACCCTGGCAGCACAAAAATTTCCTTGAGGCCTTTCCTTCCATGGAAGGGAGAGCGGGAACTGGCTATGCTGATGACAGCAAGCTGCTGCACTCAACTCACACTCACAAGCCCCAAGAGGACCGAGGACCAGGCCTCATGCTGAGACCAAGTGGATGCACCACTCCCTCATTTCTAGAGGTCTCATCTCCTTCTCTGTGAGAATACAACTGTATCAACTTCATGAAATTATACCAAACCTTTGCCTTCTCCCAGTTTTAATCTTCCTATCTTCTCTTACTCTCCATCAACCCCTCCCCATTCAGACACATCATGCTACCGTGAATTAAATAGTATTGGCAAGACAATTGGTGGCCAGATCTCTCACTCATGAATGTCTAGTCCAATTGCCCACGGCTCCCTCCAGACTGAAAGGCAATGTCCCCAAAAAAAGGTTGGTTCAATGACTTAATTTCCAAATAAGAACAGATTAGAGCGCTAATCCTGGGGCAATTCCAGCCACAGGAAAGAAAAATGTGCTACCTGAAAGAATTGTGGCATTTGCTGAGAACACTGCTATTCAGAGGGATAAGCCCAGATAGTCTGAGCATGTTCACATCCAAGGGGAAAAGAATGCACATTTCCATTTTCCTTTTTTTATTCTAAATAAAAAACACACTTTGTGCCGAACAATGGAATATAAAAGAATCAGATGTACAACGATTTTAGACATCTACTATTTGGGAAAAAAAGTGTACAAAATATACAAAACTTTACAGCAATAGATAGTAAACACTTAAATATTAGGAGGTCAGTACTTCTTATTAATTTAATGGAAGGAGTTAGGCGTCAACAACACTTCTCTGCTTCATAAGAGCCTTTAGCTATCAGAGGTGGCGGGGAGGGTGGACTGGACAGGGAAGGGGTGTTAGAGAACATCAACATCAAAACAATTTCATTTTCATTCTGATGTGAAGTTTATGGTGAGTAATCACATTGAAACGAATTCTGTGTCCCCTGCTTCCTGACATTCAGAGGAGGATTCAGGAAAAAGGTCATGTGGGGACTCCCAGACGGGCACAGACCTCTCCACATACCCCACTCCATGCCAACAAATTTGGTGTGTCCATCACAAAGAAATTTAAATTCACTTCCAAAGTTGAGGAGTTTGGTGAAACACAGCACAGCAGGAGGCCAGAGAGATGGCCAGGAAGAAAAATAATCAGTAGCAAAAACCCAACTGGGAATAAGGTATTTAAACCCAAAGACTCGTCCTGGGGATAAAGGGGTGCCAACAGATCAGAAGTAAGGCCAGAAAGAGCTTTTACCCATAGCTTGGTTCTAAGGGGCCTGACACCCACCTCTTTTCTTCCCCACTAGCCATGAACTGCAGAGATAAGATGGGGTCTTAAAAGTTAGGACCAAATATTAGGGTCCAGCAGAGCTTCCCAGCTGGTGCTTTGGCCCCAGTGAATAGTGACTAGAGCTGGGACATCGATCCCCTCCTCTGGCCACAAGCAGCCTCCAATGTTGATCCCAATGTGACATACACACATTACCATTTCCCTCAGGAAACAAGTTGGGAAGGCCCTGTGCTTGCTTTCATGATCTACTGTCACCATCTTGAAGTTCTTAATAATTTTTTAGCAAAAGGCTCTGCAAATTATGCAGCCTGTCCTGAGAACAGAACAAGAAAGAGGAGTAAAGGGAGAGGGCGTTCCAGGGTCAAACAGAACCTCAGAGCAAACAGGAGACAGTGGGCTCCAGGGGGAAAATGATGCAACAAAATAAAAGATACAAAATAAAGCAAACACCTTCCACCAGGTATCCTAGAACGCCCTCTATCACCACGTTTCAAGTAACCCAGTTCAGAAAAGGGACGCTAGAGGCAGAGGAAGCAAACATGACTTCAGAGGGAGAGCTCAGGTGTGACTATGGGAGATAAGCAGAGGAACAGGGTTTGGTCAATGAGCCTCATGGGCTCCTGATCCTGCTACATGTCTGACTGGGACAACTGGGCCACCCTGATCAACCACTTAGCCTGTAAGGGGCCAGGGCACTCAGTCTTTTGTTTAGTGTTTCAAGGGCAAAGTTTCAAGGACTTGCTTTTTGGTTTACTGGCAAAAAGGGAAAACTTCACAGTTTCAGGTTAAATATACAGACCACCCAGCATCCAAGATACCCTCTATTCAAGAAAAGGGTTTCTCTAGCACATTTCTCTACTCTCAGCTGCCTGAATGGGTTCCAGTAAGTACCACCTCTCTCAAATCTGGCCATTCACAAATCTGTCCTCACCAACAATCTGGAAGGGATTTAAAAAAAAAAAAAAAATCTCACTGCCATCAAGTCGATCAGACTCAGTGACCCCTCCTTGGGCTTCCGAGGCAGGATCTCTACAGAAGTAGATTACCCAATCTTCCTTCCGAGGAGTGGCTGGTGGGTTTGAACCACCAGCCTTCTGGTTAGCAGTCAAATGCCTTAGGCACTATGTTACCAGAGCTCAGGCTTAAAAACTTAGCAGATACATAACTCCAGTCTCTTATACATTTTCCTTAAGATTTCTAATGGTCAATGAAAAGAAACCAGTCAGTAATGAAAAATCCCAAGACAAGACAAGTTCCTGACAAGAATGTCTCAAAGGGACATCTAACAAGTTGGGTTTAGATGGTGAAAGCTGGGCCCTTAAAGTAGCCACTGTATGAGTTTTTCATCTAATGTCACCTCACCAGAGTGTCATACACTCCAACTCTTGAGGTTTCTTTAATTCAGGTAGGGAAAGAGGCAGCAGGTCCATTAGGGAGGAAGCTTTGGTTTGCCTGTATATTTTAATAAAGACAAGGACAGGAGACTTTGCAAATTTAGGAAGGATAAGAAAATGTGCAAACAGTTCTTTCATGAGACTTGATCCCCTCAACTGTCCTCCATCTACTCCATTAGAGTGGAATGGGATAACAGACCTGGGAATTTAACTGGACCCCATGACTGAACTGCTCTTGGTCCCAACTTTCTAGAACTTATGTCCATTGCCTAAAGTGTTCCCTGGGTTTATTTTGCTAAACACTACCTAAAACGAAAGAAAAGAATTTGCTTGTTGAAAAGGCTTGACGTGTTCTTCCTTAAGTCATATCCCTGCCCCCCAAATTGCTGGCCAGGACTGTTACCTGGAATATGGCTACTTGCTGGGGAGAAACTCATTCTCCTGAAATCTCTTATCTAAAAGAGATGCTGGGTAATATGGATACAAAAACAAAAAATAAATAACTAGTGTCCAAAAAGGCTTTGTGAGTTCATTAAAACCACTTGCTTGTGAAACAGCCTGGGCACTGCTGAGTCCCAACAGCGGCAGTGTCATAGTGGAGGCCAGGGACTCCCAGAGCTCACTTGAGCAGGGTGAGGTAGTAAGAGTTACTGAGGTGTCACCATGTGAGTATGCAAGATCCGAGGGCCTTCTCCCTCAAGCCTTCTTTGGGCGAGAGCCCTTCAAAAATCAACCAAGTACAGAGTCAACCAGCCCTGTGAGCTGGACAGATACCCCAGTCACCAAGGGAGGTCTGAACCAACTGCCATTCAACAGCACCCCCTGGAGGTGATGACAGATCAGGATAAATTCCAGCAGGTCAAATGTGAGCTGCCAACGCTCTGGCCCCGTTAGCACAAAGTAAACAGTGTTACCCAATTCAGACAGTCAAAATGCACACTCCACTCCACACCCCCAGTTACTCAGGTCCCTTTAATCCTGAAGAGCTCACCAAGTCCACTACTGCATCACCTTAAGGGGGCTTCTCATCTATACTACAGCCCACACACACTCCTGGGAGGGAGACTAGATGTAAATTAAGGCAAGGCTGCTGCTGCCAGAGATATCCCCACCTCTCCACCAGGAAACCAAAGGTTAACAGAAACGGCCAGAATGACAGATATATATCAGTGTATTTCCCTGTCCTCTATGCCCCACAGGGAAGGCCTGACATCCTGGGCTATTACTCTATAATGATTTTTCTTTGGAAATGAGAACAGAGAAACCTCCCTTCCTACCCACCCATGTTGCCACTTCTGGTGGCACTGCAGGACAACCCCTTCTGGCTGGCAAGGATTCACCCAAAGGCTTTCTGACCTACCCTTTCCTCTAAATAGAAAGCTTTGCTGAAGTTTGGATCTAGCTGCCAAAAGATTTTTCACTGTCCAATCAGCAGATTAGGGCCATGGAATAAGCAGGCACCTTCATCTCTGACACTATTTCCCTGCTGAGGGCGAGGACTGGAACCTGAGGAGAGCTGCTCTAGTCTTTTCTAGACAACCACATTTCCAGAATCTTTCTCCTAACTGGTTGTCCCAGTCAGAGATCTGGCAGTAACACCTACAGAGAAAACCTCTCTCCACCTCCTCTATTCAGTGAGGCTGGGGTTGGACTCTTAGCAGCATAAAACCTATCAGTAAACTAAAACTAGAGAGGCTGACAAAGGGATCTAGTTGACACCAACTGCTTGATTAGATCCCAAAACTAGCCTCAAAAGAATCAAACGCACAGCCCTTCATGGGCAAGAACAGGTATGGAGGTAAACGCGATAGGGCCATTGCTTCTCAAAAACAGTAACTCAGCTTATGTGCTATTTCTTCATGTTTCTTCCTTAAACACAACACAGAACAGAATTCCTAGCAAGGCAAAATTGTAACTTCAGCTGAGGAGAGACCAACAGCCATGAGAAAATCAGTGTCCTGGCTGGCCCCTAGGAGTTCCTCTGGCTCTGATGGGACCCAGTCAGCTGTCTGGGTTCTTCTCTGCCTCTTTGGAATGGATAATGTACATGAAGGTCTGCTCAATGGTAAAGTCGGGCGGGAGGCTGCCTTTGTGCACACCGACGTGCTTACTCATGAGGTTAAGGGTGGAACTGTAGTGGCCACAGACAGTGCAGCGATACATGAGGGCTCCTGAGTGTGTCTTCAGGTGGCACTTAATGGTCGAGCGGCCTCGGAAGAACTTATGGCACACCTTACACTGGTACGGCTTCTCGCCTGTGTGGATCCGCCGGTGGTAGTTGAACTCACTGGTGTGGGCAAACCTTTTGCCACAGACCTTGCAGCTGTACTTGCTATTTCCAGGTTGGCCCTGCAGAGCCAGCTCCTCACTCAGGAACTCCTCTGCTGGCAGCTTCCGCTTCTGGAGAGCTGGGTGCTGTAGTCCAAAACCAGGCCGCACATCAAGGCCACTGTTACATTTGTGCTGGCTGACGTGGTAGCGATAGGCAGCCTCCGACTTAAAGCTCTGGCTGCACAAGTGACAGCGGAAGAGAGCATCTTCCAGGCTTTGGTGAACAGTCATGTGCTTTTCCAGCAGGTGCCAGTCCACAAAGCTGTTGGCACAGACAGAGCAGGAGAAGACTGAAATGCCAAGATGGGACAGCGTGTGCCACATGAGGCTGCAGAGGTTGAGGTGGCGCTGGTCACAGACACTGCAAGCCTGGCCCTTCAAGTTTAGATGGTCAAGGATGTGGCCCCGGACTACATGGAAATCTTTGGCCAATGCCTTTCCACAAGCAGCACATTTTAACTCTGGGGAGGCTGCCCCTGAAAACAGGCCTAGCTTCCCAGGCAGGGGATCATTGGGATGGACAATGATGTTGTTCTCAAATATTCCATCCTGTCGGTGAAGGGTCAGCTGCCACTGGGTAAAGAACTTGGTTTCACACATGTCACAGGAGAAGAGGAAAATACCAATGTGGGACAGGACATGGGTCACCCGGGAGTTTCGGTCCTGGAAGTGGGTCTCACAGACTTTGCAGTTGCCTGTCAGCAGGTCGACGTGCTCCCGAGCATGCTGCCGGATCAGCTGGATGTTGGGCTCCAGAACTTTCTTGCACACTTGGCAAGGCATGGCCTTATTCTCCCGGTTGTCATTCTCTCCAAATGTCAGTTCATCCTCACTGTCGTCACTCAGCTCAATCACCTCCTCAGCTGTGCCTATCTCTTCAGTGGGGTCTTCAAACTGCAAATCGTCCTCCGCCAGGTCCTCCAGCTGGAGCTCATCCATCTGCCCAAAGCTCGGATCTTTGGAGTGCTCACTATTGCTCAGACAGCAGTTGTTCCCAGTGGTAATGTCTATTGCACTGTCAGGAGCAAAAAAGCTGTTTTTACTGAAGTCTCCATTGCTTTGAACTTTGTGTGGCTGGCAGGAGCTCATGCTGGTCTGGATGCCCATGCTGACAGTGCTGAGGCCTGGCTGGGTCACTGTACTGGGAATGGATGTGAAGGGAGCAGAGGCATCATGCTCTTCTGTCTTTGGTGGCGGCGGCAGCTGTGGCAGGCTGGGGTTCATGTCACTGGTAACATTTCTCTCTTCCTCTTTATAGCTTCCTCCAGCATCACTGGGCAACACATAGTTTCTATCAGGACCAAAGTGCTCCCCACCACCTCGGAGTTCTCCAAGGGGATGGACAGGTTCTGCTGAGGTACAACTCAGGGTACCAGAGTGGCTCTCACTGGTGCTGGTCAAGGGCTTGGCCACAGCAGTGCTCTCCAGATCAGGGAAGGTAGAGTGACAGGCCCGGAGGAGGTCTTCCATGCCCAGACGCTCTGCCACTTCATAGATGACCCCAACATTGATCAGGTCTGTAAAGAGCTCTGACGTGTAGACAAAACTCAGAATCTTCTCAAAGTTGGCAGGGGTGATAAAGTCTACCACATAAGTCCTGGCAGCATCAAGCCCAGTATTCAGGAAGAGGTTCTGGAAGTAGCCAGCTGCACAGGCCAGCACAGCCTTGTGGGCTGGGAAGGAGCGGCTCCCCACCACTATGGTGACATCGCACATGGTCTCTGAAAGCCGGCACTTGTTGAGTTCCTTCAGTAGGTTGTTGGGGTGGTTGGTGCTTTGCAGTTTGATCCTCATGCCCATTTTAGCAGCTCCTATGAAGTTGCCTCCGTATCAGCACGGTTAATCTATGGACAGCAAAAGAAAAAGATGATGTTCAAGCACATCCCTGAAAGTGAGGAGCCCTGCAGGACAAAATGCCACCAGTTTTGAGTGTTTCCAAACCCAGGGTGGAGAACAAGAATGAACAGACAAGGGAGAACTACTCCATTTTTCTGGGGATTAGGACAGCAAGAAATGATAAGACAATGGCCTCTCCCCCTGTAAACACCCAAATACATGGAGTCATCATGATAAAATCCAAAAATACTGACAAAAATCTGATAGTCTGATCTTCGAGTCAGTAGGAGAGGTTGTAGGCCCGGTTAGACAAAAGCTAGTCCTCTGTGCTGGTACCTGAGAGACAGCCAGAGACATCCCTTGGACATAATCTTGTGCTTCATTACCAGAGCAACTGGCTCCAATTCCTGGTATTAGTTTCCTGATTTCCTCCTAAACACAAGCTTTTCGATCTCACAAAAGAACATACTGTTTTCTCTCATGACGCCAAATGCCATACACATATTTGAACACAAGTACTAAAGGTCCACTTGCTACTGGGGAAAGGTAAAGATGCCCCATCTTCTAGTTTTCCGTCACTGCTGTGTCCTTTCAGCCCTTAAGTAAACCTCTTGCTCTTTTGTGAATTTACATCTCTCCCTAACTATGCTACATAGCTACTCTGGTCTTTTCAAAACCCAAGGCCATCCCGATATCTCATTTTCTATATTCTGTGGAGTAAGTTAACACATTCAGAACCCAAAGAAGTAAAGCAAAGGAGGAAATAACTATGTTATTAATACTACTTAAATATGCTTTATTCCTTTTTATCACCCTTTTCAGGGTTTAGGCTATTGTTGACCCTGTACTAACAATCATTTGATGCCATAAGAAAGGCATCTAATTACTGGCAGTCCCCACATTACAAAAAAGATCTATCCCTAAGTGTGCCTTTAGGTCGAATTTGTAGGTAAGTCAGAGTGCATACAGTTCTTATTCAGCCTGACTTTAATGCAAGGAAACAGAACTTCAAACCAGTTCAACCCAGTTCAACCCAGATTAACGAAATCCGAACAGATCTGAGCTTTAAAAATTGGGGTGAAGTGGAACAATAGCCAGAATGGAAAAATTGCAGTCCAAAGCCCTGGAATGGGAAACTCAGCGAGGACGTGTAGTGAGCCCTTTCAGGAGCCCAACGCAGAATACTGGATTGCTGCCAGGACTGTGAAGCGCAACACACATTCAGAGCAGCACAGTCCACTGCCACCTTTGAGCAGGGCACCATTATTTCTGTCAATCAAGAGGTTTGGTTGCTTTGCAAAGCACACCAAAAAAAAAAAAAAGCCTCACTGCCATCAAGTGGATTCTGACTCATAGCAACCCCCTTTGGGTTTCAGAGGCAGTAAATCTTTATGGAAATAGATTGCCCAGTCTTCCTTCTATGGAGTGCCTGATGGGTTTGAACCACCAACCTTCTGGTCAAATGTCTTAAGCACTACGCCACCAGAGCTCCTTATGCAAAGCACACACCACCCTTGTTTTCTAGGAGAAAGATTAAGTTTCTAGAGCATCTACCTGTAATTTTTCTGTTCCAGGTATCATCTGGGTTTACTTCACATTTTATTGATTCAGTTGGTCATGTCTGAACTGGGAAGAACTAGTTGGAAGCCTTTTCAATGATTTAAATGCTGCACCCAGCAAGTAAAGGTGATTGTGATCAAGAATTCAATGCAAGTAGAGGTTTCAAAGTGAGGGTAAATTTACATAACATTAAAGGACAAGTATGAGATGTCTGTAGTTCTTAACCCAGGATTCCTTGTATACAGGCAAGACTCCTAAAGACTGTTCAGTACCACTTTTTCCTCCTTTCCACTCCTGCAGGGCCTAAGGAAGATAAGCTAGTTGCATTCCAAGTCTCACGACCAGCCCTGGGGAACACAGCCCCTTCCTCCATCTCGCCAGACTCTACCAACAACTCCCAACTTTTCCTGGGCCCAGGAAGCTTCTGAGCATTGTCGAGCACCATCCAAGCATCCTCCGGGCCTCTGGAGGCCATACATCAATGGGCCGGCAGGTGGGGGCACTGGGAAGCCTGAGCAGGGGCTGGGGACTGCGGGCTAACGGAACTTCCCAACACACACCCCAACAAGCTAGGGGTTGCTGCAGTCTCCCTTCTAGAGAGTCGAATCCTAGAGGGCAAGGCGTTGGATCGAGATAGGCACTCCAACTGGGGAGCACACCGAACTGCTCGGTCCCTCCACCAACAGGCGGGGGTCTCACCCAGGCGACTCCAGGCGGACAGTGGGGGGCGCGGCGGGGCGCGGGGCCGAATAGGGGGAGAAGGGAGGGCAGCGGGGCCGGCGCGCGGGGAGGAGGATAGGCTGGCCGAGGAGAGCCGGCAGAAGGGAGCCCATCGAAACCGAGAGAAAGGCCGGGACTGAGGTCGGGCCTCGGTCCAGGGCAGCCCTCAGCCGGGCCGCGCTTACCCGGCTCCGCGGGGCCCCGAGCACCATCGCAGCCGCCGCCT